ATATATTGCTTCTTCCTTCATATTCACGACGCGTAAGCGCATATGCAATAGTGTCTTACAGTATTTCTCTCTTCTTTGTCTCTTCTCCGCACAACGTCGCGCAGCCCTTTCCGGTGGCCTTGTTTCTCTCAACCCCGCACGGACAAGGGAGGGTTTAAGGCGTCAAGGAAGGACGGAAGGGGGAAAAGAACAAAAAATAAAACGAAAATAAAAGGTGGTGGCGAAGTGGTCCGTGCGCCGCCTAACTCTCTTTCATTGTATTTTTATACTTCTGTAGTCTTTCTGATTTCATTCAACCGACTGCGAATGTATTCCAACCAAGATGTCAGCGCGGTGCCGTCACTTGCTATTGCCTCTCCACGACGCTTAGGCGGCAGAAACGGAAACCGAGCTTACGCTCTTGACCGCACGCCACGCAAATCCGCGGTGACACCGCGTAAACAGCTGCCGTTGGAGGCGGCGATGCGGGCCGTGCTGGATAAAAGGGAGTTGGAGGAGCCAATACGGCCGCGGGATGCAAGTCACGCCCACCTGCGCGACGACGTGGTGGCCGTGATGGATTTCCACAACCACACCATGTCTGTGTGGCACACCCGTGTAGCGAGGCTCGACGGCCATGGACGCTGTCTCTCTGTCGCCGACACGAGTTTCTTGGAGCGAGCAGCAACAAGATTGGCGATGTGTATTGACCAGATTAAGGAGACGTCGAAGGCGCTGTTGCCATTCACGCGAGGCCTTGACGCGACGTCAAAATGGGGGAGGTATGCGAAGAGCTCATATGAGAGACTTTGCAGTGTCGAGGCGTCGGCGAACGAAATGCAGTCGCGCATTGCACGGCTTCTCTCGACCAGCATTTCCACCTCTCCCGCAATGCCGAAGTGGGCAGTTACTCCTCAGCCTACCAACGCGAGGCCGTCGCACGCCATGCCTCAGAAGACAGGCACTGCCAGGACTGACCGGTCACCCCCTGTCTCTGCTGTGAGGCTTTCATCGTGCGGGTCATCCTCCGCTGAAGGAAGAAGCAGTAGTTCACTTGCGGAGCTGCGTGGGTTCGGGGCGGTGCCTAAACATAGCACGTCAGCTGGGGCGTACAGGACGTTGCAGTCGCCTGTCACGAGCCGAGACGGAAACTCTAGCCGCGAGAGTTCCCTTTCACGGTACCGACAACAACAACACCAAAAAAAACAACACAACAAACAACAGCAGCAACGGCAACGCCACGCGACGGCATATTCTCACCGGCATCCATCATGGACAGAAGTGTCAACACAGCATTCCTCAGGGGTTTCGAACAGTGTCTCACCTTTCCAATCGATGGTATCACGGTGCAGTGAACCTTTCTTTGAACGAGGAAGGGACGAATTTCGACAACGGGAGTGGCGTGCCAACGAGCCGCTCTATGATGGCAGCAGTGGAACCTTAACTCACGATAACAACACCACCCCAACCCGGCATCCCTCGGGGCCTATGGGTAACTACTGGCGTGGTATTTCATGTGACTCCACGTCTTTTCAAAAGCGCAACAGCTGCGCTGGCAGTGGCGGCCTTGAGCCAAACCAACATCGCATGCTTTTAGAGCGAATCGATGCGATGGGGAGAACACCATATGTGCTGAATGCAACAGAGCTGGAGGAGGCAGAGGTTCTCTTTAAAGAGCTTTATGGCGCCCGGAATGGGCCAAAGCAATACGTAGCGTGGGTGGACGACATGACACTGCGCTCGCTGCGGCACCGACGAGCAGGAATGTGAGTGAGAAAGAAAGAAATCTATAAAACAAGGGTGAAGCAGTCATGCCCGATGCATATAAAGCATCCCCAGGTGTTGCTATGTGGTGATACTTGGTGGTTATGCATAAACACAGGGTTCGGGAAATTATTCTTTCCCGATTCTTTCTTTGGTCTACGCGAGCCAGTGATTGTATTTTCACTGCTCTTCTGTGTATTGATGACACTTACGCTTTTTTCCGCCTTTCACCCCTTTTTAAGAGGTTACGGGAGGTTGTAGGTAGAATGAGTAGTAGCTATGTCTTCAACGGAAGGAGCCGTCCCACGCATATTTCGCTCTCCCGCGATCACCAGCCTTCAAAGGAAACAATTGTATCTGATGTCCGTAAAAAACGTGAAGAAAGAGAGAGGGATCGTAAGCGGAAACGGGCTGCAGAGTGTATACAGCGGAATACACGTCGGTGGTTGAGCCGCATGCTTCTGGCTAAGCTCGCTGCAGATGCGTTTGAAACGATGGATGACGGAATACAACAGCCCCCAGGACGGCGATTGGAGGAGTTGTGTTGGGACTACGAGTTTGTGTGCCGTGGAATGGGTTCTCGTTCTGGGTTTTCAGCTAAACGACGGATGTATGCAGGAGCTCTTCTCCAGCAGTTAAGCTGCAGTATTCGTGCGGGTACGCTTGGGGAGGAGTTCTCGTGTGATACCCACGTGCTGGATCTGCTTGTGCGTTTGGTACTCGCCGAGTGCGCTGTATCGCCTGACAATGAGGAAGTGGACCCTGTGTGGTGGAAAGAGAAGCACGTGGCCTTGCTTGGTGCGCTGTTCAAGGCTGCTTCTACCCTGACGGGGAGGGTTGACCTCGTGTTGCAAGGACTTCGCTTTCTCATTGAGAAGGGTACAACGGGCAACGAAGCCATTCTGTCGATAATCCATGATTTTTTTGCAACGATTTCGGTAGGGGAGTTGGGAAACACACTTGTAACACCGGCAGTGCATGATATGCTCCTGCAAGCCCTCACCTCTTCGATATGTGATAAACCGTTCGTTTCCCCAACCATATGCGTATTCAGTGTCCTCCTTGGATCCCCAGCAGAGGAGAAGCCTGTAATGACCGATGGGGTGAATCAGGCGTTGGTACAAGCCATGATTGACGTTGCGGTGAAGAAGCTCCCAACAGCATTGAGCACCCAGCCGATGGTGGCCCTTGGTAAGCTGGTGCGATTAGCACCCTTATTCTTTGAAGCGGAGTCGGAGGATGAAGTGATGTTGCGGAAGAACTGGATGGTGTGCCTTTCGCACCTAGCGCACTTCGCCAACAGGAAGGGTGAACTCATACGCACGACGCTGCGAGACCTACATCACCCACGTACAGATACTGTGCCGCGTCACGGTAGATACAAGCACCCACAGACCTACTTGTTTAGTACGGAATGCGGCTTGAAGCTGTTGGAACAGGGTGCAGTTGCTGCTGCCGCGCTGAGAACACAACATGAAGGTGGACTTGAGCCGTCTGCAACGCAGTTAGAATCCTACTGTAATTTTGACACTCTTTGTGGTATCTTTGTCTGGCCGTTGTACACCTTCATGGCTGCATCGCCAGAGCAGCGAATTGAGGCAACCACGATTATTTCAAAGCTAGTGCATTCCCCAAGAGTGTTGCAGTCCCTGTGGCGTGTGTACCAAGACTGCCACAGCAGTACCTTTGGCGGCCTAACAAAGGCAAAGAAGGCGGACTATTTCAGGCAGGCGATGGAGGGAGAGGTGGTGCACCTTCCTTGGGGACCAGAGCCACCGGCAGAAATGTTGGACTTGGTCTCGTCCACCGCGCCAACGCGCTCTCTTTTCTGGGACCCTTACCCTGCAGTCTCGACGCTGCTATTCAGCTTGCTGAGCTACTTTGTGGATGCAACAGATTTTGTAGAAGGACTTAAACGTTGCACGCTGATGGATCACGATGATGCCTTTTTTCTTGTGCTAGCTTTAAAAGGGATTGTGAATCGCTCCCACTTCCACGGTATCGTGCCACAGGGCAACAGCGAGGCAGTGGTAGAGGCGGCCCTCACGCTCTTGGTGAAATTGCATGTAATCAACGAGGCACATTCGTTTGTGTCCTACCCATCCGTGTGGATTACCACATCCGAACCAATTAGTGCGTTTGACTCGGTCACGACAGAGTCGTGGATGTACGTCAAAACCGCTGTGGAAACCGCAGTGGCGGCGAAAACAGGAGAGGAATCAGGAGATATCAGTGATGACAACAACGATTGGGGAGTTGGGGAGACGAATGACACGTCTATCCACCACCCGAAGTGGGCGGAGAGCTGCATGTGGTCACGCCAGGAACGATGTGTTCGCATTCTCCAGAATGCCCCATTCACGATTCCCTTCAAGGTGCGTGCTGCTCTGTTCACCACCTTCCTGTTGAGCCGCGGGGATCGCCAATTCATAGGGGGCCAGCGGCTTTTCTTGGTGCATCGTAGCAGCGTCTTCATCGATGCGTTTGACCGCTTCGCCGCCGCCCCTGACAGCCCCGACATGTACTCTGTGCGATTTCGCGACACGAACGACATCATGGAAGAAGGCTACGGTGAGGGCGTGTACCGCGAGTTCCTGCTGAGCCTCTGCACGGAGGGCTTTGCCGCCGAGCATGGACTGTTTCGTCTAACCCACGACGGCTATGTGTACCCGAACCCCTTCAGTTATGAAGTGACCGGCGACCCATTGCATCTGCAACGGATCAATTTCCTTGGCTCGATGGTGGGACGCGCACTGCGTGACGGTGTGCTGCAGGACGTCCCCTTCGCGTTGCATTTCCGTAACGCGATGCTCGGCCGCAGTAACTCCATCAACAACCTGGAGTGCTTTGACCAAGAGCTGTACCGTCACCTAGTTTCACTCCTCTCTCTGAGCGAAGAGGAGATTGAGAGCCTCTCGCTGAACTTCACGTATACGGTGGATGTCCTGGGTGAAGCACGTGAGTTGGAACTCCTGCGTGACGGGTATAACATTCCCGTGACACGACGAAATTGCCTGAACTACATCCACCTTGTCGCAGACTTCAAGCTAAACCGCGAGTCGGCCCGCCAGACCAAGGCATTCCTGAGCGGCCTGGGGCTCATTGTGGATCGCAGCTGGCTGCGTCTGTTCGACGGCAACGAGATCATGAAACTCTTCGGCGGGGACGCTGAGAGCGCCATTGACGTGTTGGATTGGGAACAACACACAATTTACCACGACGCAAAGGATGAGGGGAGCACACCGGTGCGTCTCTTTTGGCATGTCGTAGAGTCCATGTCATCGGAGCAGCAGAAGAAATTACTGAAGTTTTCCACTTCCATGAACCGGCCCCCACTGCTCGGCTTTAAGTTCCTCAACCCGCCCTTCAAGTTGCACGTCGTGTGGGATGCACCAGAGCAGCGGCTTCCGTCTGCATCTACGTGTTTCTCAACGCTGAAGTTGCCACCTTATAAGGACATGGATACGGCGTGGAGAAAAATTACGGCAGCAATTGAAGAGACAGATGATTTTGGTCTCAGCTGATTTCTTTCTTCTTGTGCCCTTGCGATAGTGTGGCGTGGATCAATTGAAAACGAAGTATGTTCGGAGCGCATCGTTGTTCTCCTGTTCGGCACCGGTACGGCACCAGCCACGGAAGGTGCGCAGGGTACCGGCGAGAAGAAATAGGGACCAATGAGAGGCTCCGCACGGACCCTCCAAAGACACTTCGGTTTCCCTCCACTCCTGGTCCCTGAGAACATATACTTTTTTGTTTTTGCTTGGATCTTGGCTCTCTCTATTCGTCACCCTGGTTCGGACTCTGCTTGGGCGCTTCGGTTTTGGTTATTTGTTAATTTTTTTTGTTCTTGTTGTTGTCGTTGTTGTTTGGGGTTTCTTGTTTCTTACGATCTCTCTGTAGGTGCTTTAAGGTACACCATCTCCCCTTTTCCCCCATTGCAGTGGATTCCTTGTTGAGGAAGGGGTGTGTGAGCTCTGTGCTGCTCATCCTTCCGTGGCCACACTCCATCTTCACTTCCAGTTGACTACTGCTCCTGTGAAGATGTTCCACGTGTCGCGACGTGCGTGGGGCTCCTTCATCCTCAACGCGCGCGTCATTCCCGACTGGTGGCAGGCGTTTCACAGGGAGGAGCGCCATCGCGTTGCCCGCGCACGTATCACACATCTGCGCTCGCCCAGCGGGGAGAGTGGGGAGCAGAGAGACAACAACGCCCCCATCACGTCGCAGGAGGCCAACGAGCTCGTAAAGACGTACACGTGCAACCACAACGTGGAGGATCTCAGCTTCGTTGTGCAGTACATTCGAGAAACACTAGAGGAGCCACTGGCACCGCTGCACTACCACGCATTGTTTCGGGTATTCAGCTACACACGAGACAAGGAAAGTATCGAGCAGCTCTTCCACGTTATGGCCCAGCGTGGGGAGACCAACATGGAGACCTACGCCCGTATCATCGACGCTCTTCATTGCCTCGCTCCTATCGATGCTCTTGTGCGTATTCTTCGTGTTATTGCGATCACGCAAACTTCATTTGGGACTCTGATTACCACAGGAGAGTGCCCACTGTTGACGTCTCTCCTCCAACATGTCACTAACGGAAGCGGCTACTTGCCCACCGCAGCGCTGCTCGTGGCGCTGTGGATCCGAGCCCTCGGGGTTCGGCTGTGCGACTGGGACTACATACACATTTTGTCCGCACTTCTCTCACACGCTGATGAGTTCCCGCGTGTGCGGAACACTTTGGGTGTCTTCAGCGATTTTCCCCGTGGTACAGTGAGTCCCGCGGCGTTCTTTGAGCGGTTGGAGAGCCGTGGGGAATTGTCGCCGGCTTCAAGCCCATTGAGCTTGCTCGTCTCCGCCATGCGGGCATCGCTTCTGCAGGCGGGCGTGGATATGAATACGCCTGTTGAGTGCGGTGTCATTAACACGAGGACTGCCGGCATGTCGTCCATGGTGGCGTACATCCTACAGGACATGGCATCCACCGCCGCCACAGGGGACTTCTTCGGTGACGTGCTGAGCTGCCACCATACACTCGCGTTGCTGTACAGCACACTGCGAAATGACACTGCGGCAGTGGAGACACTGCACGAAGTGGTGCGCGAGGTGCGGTGCCAGGAGACGGCAGGCGCAGCAGGTCGTGCACGCCTTGGCACGTCGCCGCATGATGAGTGCGTGCACCACCACTACCTCATGGACGTGGGAAGTCTGCTCAGCCGTGTCAGCACAAAGACGGCTCAGTCGGTGCGTCTGGGCTACGCCCAGCTGGCACAGACCGCGAGCTCCGACGTCTCGGAAAATGACATTGCGGCTGCAGAAAGCTATGCGATTGTGTTTGTGCGGAGTAATGACGAGGCGGAGGAGGCGCTGCGCCAGGTGTCGGAGAGTGTCGATCTCACGTATCACCGCACGCGGCTCCCCACAAAGTTGATGTTCCGACGCTTCGTCGAGCTCTGCGTGAGACACCCAAGGAAGAATTGCAAAATGACGGCTGCCGGCTTGGAGGAGCGACGGAAGTGGGGTCGCTACCTCGACGCACGTGATACCTCGCTTGCCTTGTTTGGTTCGGCGAAGCAAGCGCGGGACGCTATGAAATATTTTTTTTACAATGAAAACAAGATGCCAGAGCTGCGCAGCCCTGCAATGATCGAGAAGGATATGAACGACACCGTGGCGCTGTTCAAGTGGAAGCGTGCACCTAGCATCGCATCGCTTCGTGTACGTACATCACTCCCGCACGTCTGCTGCCCAGCGGACCCCGTTCCGCGTCATTTGTGGGACCCAGAGGTGTACAATCCGTACCCACGGGTGATGCTGCAGACAAGCCCAATGGAGGACGAGCGCATTACGGATGATATTTTTCAAGAATTATGGCGCGTCCTTATGAATCCGTCTATTGTGGGTACTGATCAGTGGTACCTGCGGGACTCGGAGATGTATCTTCTGCTGTTGCGTTGTCTCATTCATCGGCTTGATTGGGAGGCCGCTGTCCACCTTACCCTTAAAACAATGGAGAATCTGACATACACCTATATGATGGATCATGAAGTAACGCTGATGTTTAAAGAAATAGGTGACCCTGCTGGATGCTTGGCGTTTAAGGTGGCCACGAAGCTGTTCGATGGACGCATTGTGAAGGATGGCCAGAGCAAGCGGGAGAAGTTCCACCAGGAGCAATTTGGCGAGGATTGAGGGACAGGGGGCGGGGAGGGTTGGTGAAGAAGGGTGTGTGGTGTTGGGTGGGAAAGAAAAAAAAATCCGTTATGGCGTATCCAATCTCGAATGCTCATGCAAGATACTTCTTGTTGTGAATTCTTTTTTTTTTCGTCTGTTCAGCTGCCAAGACCCATTGTTGGATTGCATAATGAATCTTCCCCCCATTCGATCTCACTCTCTCTCTCTCTCTCTCGCTCTTTGTCCCCTCGTAGTTACACACATAATACAAATTTTTGTTTACTTTTTTGAGTTTGGAGGAGACAAATGGTTGAAGTTGAACCGAAGCGTGTCGAGTTGTGCCCTACACTGAAGGCAGTGACGGTCTTCAAGGACCGCGCACAGCTCACGTACAGCGTCAGCGCCTCCCTCTCTGTCGGAAGGCACGCACTCTTCATGCGGGGCGAGAAAGGATGGGAAAGCATCGAGCAGCACACGGTGCAAGTCCGTCTGGAGGATGCGGCGAATCAGCCGGTGCTGATGCATGGTGTGCGTTTTGAAAACCGCGCCACAAAAGAGGACATGCGAGAGCGCGTGCGGGAGCTTGAGAAGAAACTGGACACCGTTCAGGAGAGCCTCGACGACGTCGCTGACAAGGAAACAATCAATGACGCACTCGAAGCGGCACTGAAGCAAGTGTGTGAGAAGCTCGTCATCATGGGCGAGCGTGGCGTGGGGCCCGATGCGCGGGCTGATGCGGCACCCATCGCAGGGTTTCTTTCAGATCCAACGTCGTGGCCTAAGGTGATGCAATTCCTCACCGGCCGCAAGCGGAAGGTTGCTGAGGCGAAGTTGTTGCTCTCTGAAGAGAAGAAGAGCTTGGACATGAGGAAGAGTGAGCTAAAGAAGAAGATTGAAGACTTGCGGCGCGGCAGGCAAGATGAGCGGTGGGAGACATCAGTGGAGGTGGCGCTGTCTGTGGAGGAGCGGCCCGTCGAACTGACGCTGTTGGTGAGCTTTGTTGCCATGGGTGCCACCTGGACACCACTCTACGACTTACGCGTGGATCCGACGCAGTCGACGATGGACGTCACATATCACGCACAGGTGCAGCAGAACACCTCAATGGACTGGTCAAAGGTGCAGATGAAGCTCAGCACCGCCACACCGCACTTCAGTTCCCATCCGCCAGAGCTCCAGAAGTGGTGCATCAGCCTTGAGCCGCCGGTGCAGACAAACTTGTTATTGCGTTCCGCAAGGATGGCGACCCCCGGCGGACCAATGCCACTTGGCGCGTTGGCAACTGCAGCATCATCGACAGAGGCACGGGCCGCCCAAGTGGAGCAGGCGGTTGTGTCCTCCTCGTCGACCGTCAGCACTTTTGAGATTGCTGGCCTTGCAACAGTGAAAAGCGACAACAAGCCAGTCAAGGTGACCATTTCCAACCACACCTTCCCTGTGGGTTTGGTGTATCATGCGGTGCCGAAGTGCAGCCCGTCGACGTATCTCCTTGTCAAGGCGAAGAACACAAGCCCGTATGTGTTCCTCCCCGGAAAAACGATTCTCTTTGCTGGCAACACATTCATCGGAAACTCAGAGCTGGACATGGTTCCTGCTGGTGCCGAGTTTACCACATCGCTCGGCACAGATGACACGGTATGTATCACGCGGAAACAGGTGAGTCGAAAGAAGTCTATCGAGCGTACCATGTTGCGCCACCCGCAAGAGCGCGTCCAGTATGTGTACGAATTCACTGTGAAGGGATCACTGGCGAAGGAGGCGACTCTGGTGGTGCAGGATCAGTCTCCCATTGCTTCCAGCAATGACGTCAGCGTGACGCTACGTGAGCCCAACACAAAGATGTTGAGCGAAGGGACCACGATGGATGGAACCGTCTGCACCATGGATGATTTGGGCGTTGTGGAGTGGAAGCTGCAGCTACCAACTGGGGCCTTCACGCGCGTATTCCGCTTTGCCTTCAACGTTGAATACCCCGAGAAGATGCAAGTTGCTGGTCTAGCTAACTGAGGCCAGTAGTAGGGACTGTTGGGGGTGAAGAGAATCATAACAACAGCAAAATGAAATGTGAATGAAGAAGATTATGAAGGTAAATGTAAGAAAATTAGGAATGAATATCCGTGGGACTGTTTTATTTGTCTTTATCTTTTACTTTGATTTTTTCTTTATCTTTTGGTGGCCCGGTGGCTCCGTTTTTTCTTTTTTTTTTTGCTCGTTGTTTTGCGAGAGCTTGCGACAGGAATGGTCTGCTGCCTTACGCTGTTTCGGCAATGACACAACAATGGATCTTTGATCCATTTATGATTTTAATTGCAGCCTGCGGCAATTTAGGTAGGCTTTTGAGGACAAGTTCAACATGTAAGTTTATACGCATGCCTAGGACCACGCGGCGTTCCAGTAACGAAGCGGAGTTGGCAGACGGCCACACGCACATTTACAGCTTTCGTGGGGCAAAATGGACCTACTGTGTTTTCTTTGGGCATACAAACCGTCGGCGTCCCCGGACTTGCCGTATCACGCTGGTGGGGCTCTAACCATGGAGAACGACACACTAGCGGCACGCATGGGCCAGAAAGCATGGTAGGTGGAGGGGCAGCCGGAAGACACTGCACCCGCTTATAAAGGCGCCATGGCGGCTGATCTCCTGAATGCCCCGCCGGGTCGCGTTTTGGCCGCGTTTCGGGCCACTTTCCCGCCGCTAGCCACACAGACTCTTTCGCACACGGATGCGCGGAACTGTTTTCAACATTAGGCGTGCGGCATACGCTAAACGAGGCCCACCGCTGAGATGACTCGATTGAGCCGAAGGCTGTGCCTCAATTCGCGACCCCCACACGCCCCCCAGCAGTAACGCAGGGGTGCGGCTGCAAGATATGCGGGGGGTATTGGAGGAACCCCTGGTGAGGGTGGTCCCATCGCGCAGGCGGTTCAAAAAGCCAAGAAGAAGCGCATCGCCCGCCCCCCTACCGAGCAAAGCACGGTGCTGTCGCTGTTGGGGCTTGGGCCATTACGGCAGCACCTGCCATGTGAATGCTGCACGCCCATCCACAACGCGAAAAAAACGAGCATCGACCCCGGAACGATGAATTTCAGGGCCATGGGGTTGTGGGGATCCTTGCATCCTGGTCGGCGTGGCGCGAGGTGTTTTACACGGGGTCAAGCCATCGCGCCTTGCACCCGCTACGGGGGCGGATGCGGGGCCGGAGCTTTTCCCCCAACACGGGAGCGGGCGGAATCGCCGAAGCACAAACCCTTTTTTGCAGCCCGGGCTCGTAAAAGAAGCGGGCGCACCGATGTTGCGCAAGAGTTGCCCCCAATTGGCGAACGGCGCCGCCGCCATTCCCGCTCCGAACCGCGGCCCGTGCGCCGTGGCCCTCGCATCGGGGGCGAAGAGGCGTACAATGTGCATGTGTAGCCGCACAGCATGGGAGCAAAGGGGGCCCATAAGGCGCCACTTTTGCGAGTTTGCAGTGGCGAAGGGCTTTGGGGTTCCTGGAAGTAATCGTTCCCTTATTTATCGTAAGCTTTCATTCGGCCAAGAGCGGCACGATTCAACACACAAGAACCTTGCTGAGTCTGTTGGGGGCATGGCGAACGCCGGCGCAAATGATTCCTGCCGGCCGCCGGAAGATCACGGCCAGCGATTCCGTCCGACAAGCACGCCCCATGTTGCGCTTGGAACTCGACATGGTCAGCGACACGTTGGCGCATGAACAGGGCCGCGTCGCTTTAAGGCTGGGTTGGGTGAGCACCAGTCGTTGAGGGAAAAATCGCGCTTCTCCAGTGGAGAAATTTCGCGGGCTAGTCGCGCAACAAAATGGCCCCAATCGTTGATTGCGAGCCCCCCCCNAAAAAAAAAAAAAAAAAAAAAAAAAACGCGCAAGAGCGACCCACACGGAGCGGCGCGGAAGATGGCTAGAGGAGGGGCCGGCGCCGAAAGGATTCGTGCGGTGCTAAAGGGCATGGGTGGCGACGAAAAACTTACAGAAACAACCGCCAGCGGAATGGAAAACACCCCACGCCCATACAGAATGACACATCGCTCCGTTAAAAGAGGAGCGCTGGCGCACGCAGCAGTCGCCGAGGTGGAGCACGACTTGGGCCCCCGCTTTCTGGCGCAGCTGGGAAAACACGCGGGCTCACCAGAGCCCCCTCGGGGCAGAGTGCGTTATATACNGGAAAACACCCCACGCCCATACAGAATGACACATCGCTCCGTTAAAAGAGGAGCGCTGGCGCACGCAGCAGTCGCCGAGGCGGAGCACGACTTGGGCCCCCGCTTTCTGGCGCAGCTGGGAAAACACGCGGGCTCACCAGAGCCCCCTCGGGGCAGAGTGCGTTATATACGCCGTTTGGCCGTGACCGCCAATATGTCCGAGGAGTTGGCGCCGTGGGTGTGACACACCGAAGGGGGTGGACCGATCCGCCGCGGATCCAGCCTGTGTCGGAGCATAAAGGAGCACAACCCCTATTCCAGAGCCAAAGCGTTTTGTGACGCACACGCAGAACAAGGGTGGCCACGCGTGAAGAGGAAGGGAGTTGGTCGTTGTAGTAGGTTGCCGTGGACACGTTGTCCCTTCCCAGGATCCGATGCAGGGCCAATGCGGAGGCACGTCTATGCTTTGACGCGGTATGTGGGATCTTGCGTAGCCCACCGACGGCGCCCCAGCAGGCCCAGGAGCCCAATTTGCGTATCTCAGAGCGGGGCTCGCAGCTTATTGAAGACGTCTGGTGTTATCAGCGCGGCTTCGACACGTCGCGCCACAGGATGCGTTGTGCCGTTTACGGTGGTAGAGGATAAACCGACAGGCCGGCAGCGGCGATTTATCGCGTGGCCAGGGGGGTTGTGCGACGAAAAGGATTACGAAGCTCAGGTTCCCCTGGGGCATATTTCCCAGAATGTGACTGTGGATTTTGACGAAACATCGACACTGCTTTATTTAAAGGCTTCTTTTTCCCAAGTCGCTTTGCCAAAGGCCGGGCATGCAAATTTTCGGTGTCGGACAGAATATGGCGAGCACGTTGAAGTAGCTCGCCGCCCGATGGGAAAAAAAATGTGGTTCTGAGATTCTGCGCACCATCACGAGGGTTTTGGCGGGGAGTCCTGGGGCCGCGGGGCCACGGTATGCAGCACCGCTCGGAATACGGATTCACGTAAGAATTGGCAACCTACGTATCAGCGGCCTATCACCCCTAGTAGGTCAGTGGGGAAAACACATATCGAGGAATATAAGTCAGTGCGGCGCCGCAGTCGGCGAGCAGCAGCGATCTTGCCAGAAATATGACTTCTTAGGGGTATACTTTGATCGTGTTTCGCACACGATATCGATAAGCCAAAAAAAAAAAAATCGGTCCGTCTACGGGACGCAGCGTCATTCCACATCCTCTCGGCACAAGAAGGGGAAAGTGCGGCATCCCGCACGATGTACGCGGCCGAAGGGCAAAGAAACTCGCTTTCCCCCTATTATTTTCTGCCATAGGATGGTGCGGCGGCGCTTGTTTCGATTGAACACGGGCCTGCTACGCCAAGGGGGCGCGCCCATGCCGCCACAACTTGCCAACCACCTGGCCCAGCAACGGCTAGAAGGTTTGTTTCTAGATGAACCGGTTGGCCTCCTATGGCAGACGCCAACTTCCGCAACGTTGACCACGGACGCCTCCATGTGCGGATGGGGTGCCTTGTTGTTTAGGAATTCGGGGGAATTTTTGATCTCTGGCGGCGCTTGGTATGGAGCGTCTGACATGATTTCCCAAGTTGAAGCGCACGTGGCCCACCTGGCCCTACAGGTTTTCCGCCAACATCTGCGGGGGGCCTCTGGGCATATGTGTCGATAACACAACCGTGACGCACATAATGAAAAAAGACAACACCTGCTCGGATGCGCTGGTGCTGGGCGCGAAGGCCGTCGATAGGGCACTGCGGGACGTTAAAGTGGACGTTGCGTGTCGTTAAGTGGCCTCGGGGAATAATCCATCGGACGCCATTTCCAGAGGTGAGGACGTAAAGGCGCCTGACCTATCGAAGGGGTGGAACTTGCGAAGGGGAGCGCGGGAGGCAGGCTAAGGACGGTTTCAGCTCGTCTTCTTCGTGAGTTGTAAAAGATCTGTTAAGGAAAACATCATTGATTCGTTTCACTTGATAAAGGGGGATTCTCATGCGTGAAGAAGAACAAAATAGATCACGCGTTCAAAATGGCAATATTTTATTCTTCCTTTTCTTCCCCCTTTTAGTGACAGGAAGGTGCAGACTGCTCTGTTGGAATTGCTGCTGCAAATTGGGATGCCGGTCCGTCCCTCTGTGGTGCGAGAGTGTGCATCTCTTCTCCCTACAACATTTTTTTTTTCCTTGGGCTCGTGGTTTTTGTCTTTTCTTTTCCTCTGGCGAGAGCACGTGTCCGCCGCGCGTGAGAACAGGCCGTATATATAAATAGAGAAAGAGAGGAATAGCGGGAGGTGGTTGAGAGAGGGAGAGAGAGAGAGAGAGTAGAGTAGAGCAGCACAAAGACTATCAGCAGCATCAGCAGCAGTAGGAGCGCCTCCATGGAGGAATTGCAGTGCAGCCTCCTTGGGTTCTCCTCCATATCCTTGTCCCTCACGACTGACAGTGGTCGCCGGGACGGCAGCAGTGGCGGGCAGCAGATATCCACCGTCCTCCAGCAGCTTCACCCGTCGGAGCGGGCGCTGATTGAGGATGCGCTGCCTCTTGGCTCGATGTGCCACAAGCTGCGTCGTGTGACGTCCGATATTTCTATAGGCCGTACGGAGGGAATGTACCTCGCTGCTATTGGCGCCGCTATCGCGGAAGTGCTGCGACGCTATGAAGAAGACGTAGAAAAGGCGGAAACACCGTCTGCTGTTGCCGAGCTTCGCCCTACGTACTTCACCGCATTTACACTTCTGACGAAGATGGTAGAACAGCAGAAGAACACAGACGTTGTCCTCGCCACTGTCCGCACATTTGTGTCGAACCGAGAGATTCCACAGGAGTTCCGCAGTTGCCTCGGCGAGGCAGTTTGGATGGGACTGCTCTACACGATCGGACACTACATCGCCCACGGTGTCGTGCTGCACGGCCGTAAGGACTTCTTCATCTCTGTGAAGTCCAAGGGAGGAAAAGAGGAACACACACTGCACAGCGACCTTCTGCCACACGGCATGTCGATGGACCTCGGTATGCTCATCCTCTCCGTTGGGAAAGAGCGTCGTGTACTGCTCAGCGATGCAGAAAGTCACGGCAGAGGGTACCTTGAGCAGCTCGCCATGGGCACACAGGACGAGGCAGCGAACGCAGTTTTCAGAGCCATCTACAACCCCTCGCTCTGTGCAGGTGGTGTGCTGGTCGTTGACGAATTGGAGACGCGTGTCGAGGCAGCTCGTGCACTGTGGTCCAAGGCGCTCTGGGCGAAGGTGGGCGAGCAGACTGCCCTACAGGAGAACCTTGTGGCGCTGCGCGCTATGTTCCTGTGCCACCGCGGTGATCTCTGGCACGCCTTCGTGGAGGCGGCGTTCCCGGGCCTCGTCGACAGCGCCGTGTCAAAGTCAACGATGACAGAGGCCGCCATTGGGCGTGTGGTGGCGGACGCATTTGTGTATGCGTTGGGCGCCTCAGGCTTGGGCGACACGCCCATCTACGAGCGCTTCACCGCCTTCGTCGTGCTGCCCTTCGAGATTGATGGTGGCAGTCTGCGCTCTGTTGAGGACACAGCGCGGACGATCCTCGGCTGCATGCGAGGGATAGTGCTGAACTACGTCCCGCCGCGCGGACTACACCTGGTAGTATCTGCCAAGGCGATGGAATACTACAAGAGGATCTTCTCCTTTCACATCGCGCGACGATTTTCGCTGCATGCGCTGCATACCGTGAGGCGGGTTTTTTCGGGGGCGTCAGTCACCAATAAGCATCCATCTTCAGAGCTTCGCCGCACCTTTGCTCTGATGCAGTTGCTGCTTTTTCTCCATACCACACTGGGATACCACCTACAGGTGGATGTGATTGTGTTACAAACTGCGGAGCTTGAGAAGTCGATGGAGAAGTGTAAGAGTGTGCAGGACGCCAAGAAGTGCCTTGACCGCTACGTCTGGCACGTCGCGGAGGGCTCATTCATCACGGAAGGCTCGGGTCCACTCCTATCGGCCTGCGAGGCTCTTTTTCAGTGCTCCTTTGCCCTCTACGTGCTGTGCACGCGCTATCGCCTGACGTCGTGGGCTGTGGATGGAGCGCACATACCTGTTGAGGTCGCCGCCGCACTGAAGGCGTTGGAGACACGCGTGCATCAAGATGTTGTAGCGGCCTTCACTGGCCACCTGTCAGGTTCCGCGACACGCGCCACTGAGCGTGCGCTGTGGGCGCGGCTTGACTTTAACCGATTTCTCTCCATGGGGCTGAATGAGAGGGCAGCGACGGAGTTCCCACAGCCTATGGCGACAAAGACGCGGTCAAGAGTAAATTCGGTAGTAGTGGTGCATGAGGCGGCGACTCTGTCTCGTCGGCGTTCCGACGTGCAGCCTCGCCCCGTCACAGCACTGCCGAGGTCTACTCACAAGTGAGAGGGAAGCTCTGTGTGTGAATTCTGTTGTAGGTGGGGCACGTGCACGCTGTGTCTTGCTTGCGCGGTGTCCTCTCTGGCGCATGTGTGCGTGTGCGTGTCTGTTGCGAGGAAGGAAAATACAATAAACGTTCAGGGTGACGGGAGAACACATTCTTCGCCTAATGGTCATGTTACTCTTCATTGCATCCCTTTTTTTTTTAAAAAACCCTCGTTTGCTGCAATATTTACCGTGAAAGTGAAGGAAAGGAAAGGGATGACAGACAGAATAGAATTGACATCTCCCTCTCGATCCTTTTCCTCACGTGGTGTGTCTCATGATGATGATGATGCTGCCCCTCCCCCATCCCCTCCAGATGGTGACGAACACGGGTTTGGAGAGCAGATGGCTGCATCGCCATTGCGCAGTCCACGAGAATGCGCTAGCCTCGGGACAGGTGCTGATGAGATGAATTTAGAAGCTGTGCAGAGCAATGACACACCAACAGCAGCAGCAGCACTGATGCTTCCCCCCTCGGGCGAGCTCATCCGAGCTGCGCGGCTGCAGAACGTCTGGGAGCAGCACCTGCGAAGTTTGTACGGCTACTGTGCTGTGCATGCGTTGGAGTGGCCAAGCCTCACGGTCGATTGGCTCCCCAATCGCCAGATTGAGTCTTCTGAAGTAGATTACACTCTGCAGTACATCGCAGTCGGTACGCAGGCAAGTGCTGAACACCAGAACTACGTACGCGTCATGGGGGTGACGGTGCCCGTTGAGATGGACGAGGAGCTGGTGTACCAGAATCTTGTGGGGTGTGAAACCGGTGATGTGGAGCCGAGGGTGGAAGATGTAAATGGGACGGATGCGGAGGTTGGCTCTCCTGGAGGATCCCGAAGCGTCTATGGACACTGCGCTGTGGGTCAAACGCTCCTCATGGAGGATCCAGTGCTGAAGATTCGCGCAATGCCTCAGATGTCGGATGTTATTGCTGTGAAGACGACGACAGGATTTGTTGGTGTATATAGCCTTGCCCTTCGACCAGTGGAGGTGGCGGACAACGCGGCTGAAGGACCAACACAACCTGACTTGTGTCTCCGCGGCCACAGGACAGGTGGGTTCGCGTTGAGCTGGAGCACCGTAAAGAAGGGCTTTATCGCTAGCGGTGCGGATGACGGTCACGTAAAATACTGGGATATTGGTCATCGACTGTCTGCCTCAAACACTGCAGGTAACTCGCGCGATAGACATGACGTGCAGCCGCTTGGCCAACTGGCGGCCCACGCGGAGGCAGTGACGGATGTGTGCTGGCATGGCTCGCAGGGGCATCTGCTGCTCACCGCTGGGATGGACGGTGCAATGCACCTGTGGGACACACGGGTGGGAGAGAGCGGCTGTTCGTGGCCCCGCGCCCATGAGGGTGGCATTACCGCCGCACAGCTGCACCCTGCCGCCACCTATCAGGTGGCCAGTGCGGGTGTAGACGGCGTGCTGTGCCTGTGGGATATTCGACGCCACCAGAAGGAGCCGCTTGCCACACTGAAGTTCCACGATGGCGGCATCGCGGGCATCCAGTGGGCCCCCTTCAGTGACACGGTGCTGACCACGTTTGGTGAGGATGGCCGCGTGGTCGTGTGGGATATGGCGAAACGCTTTCTCTCAGCGACACACAGCGACGCAAATCTGGCTCCACCGGAGGTGTCGTTCGTGCATATTGGGCACTTGGGGCGCGTCACGGATATGTCGTGGTGCACGGGACAGGGTGATGAGTGGCTGATGGCGTCAACAGACGTGATGAATGGACTGCACGTGTATCGCCCGCTGAAGAGTGTGGTTCTGGATTACATCCAACCGTGAATTATTTGAGCAAGTGAGTGAGTGAGTGAGTGAGTGAAGCATAGGTGATTATGTTTTGTGCAAGAAAACACAAAATATATATAAAAAAAGCAAAGCCAAAGGAGAAACCAAACGAAGCAAAAATCAAATTCAGGTTGCGCAACTGGATTGTATTCATGCAGTATTGATGCCAAACTATTCACGCCTTCTAATTTTTTCTCTCTTTCGCAAAGGTTTGGCTGAATGCCAGAGGGAGGGTGAGTAGGTGGTGCGCAGACACACGATTAAGGGAACGCAAAGGGGCAAAGTCACTTCCTTACACCACCTTATTCCTCCATAGCATACGCACGCATTGATAAGCGTGCATTTAGTTTCATACATGGAGCCGCCCGCGGGTATCTCTGAGCACACTGGCGAGGGGCAGCGAAACGTGCGTCAGCGGGTTCACACTCCCGCTCCTCCTGTGACCCATGAAGGTGAGCGGCAGCAGCAACGACCCTCGACGCCAGAATGGAGACGTGAGTTTGCGTCACCGAGATCCACTCCTCTGGAGAAGATCACAGCGAAGGGACATTTTTTCATTGTGACAGAGAAGAAAGTGGTGTGCGACATGAAGCAGGGAGTCCAGCCGTCGTTACTCGACGACGAGTCGCAACGTTGCTGGGAAGAGCACCGCGCCAGTGGCAGGATGCACCATGAACCTCCATGGCGCGTGTGCTCTCTGGCGGAGGACAACCGCGAGCACCCCTACTATATGCAGTGGCTGGACACCATGGAACTGCCCCCGTTGGAGGAGTTGCTCCGGAAGGAGAGCAGCAACGGTATTACCGCTGACAACAGCAGTCTTGGTGAAGAAAAGAAAGGTGCAATAGAAGCGGACAATGCAAGTGACGTGGTGCACCAACAACAACAACAGCAGCAGCAGCAGCAGCAGTCTGTTTCTTAGTCTGCGTGAGTCATATGTTACGTACGACGCGAGTACATTTAAATAACGAGGAGAAGGAAAGAAAGGATGGTGCAAAAAAGAAGGAATTTCTATGATATTAGGATGGGGTGCCAAACACACCAAAAAAAAAAAATGTTTTTTATTCTTTCACTACGCTCCTCTTGCTTTAGCACAATACAATTATTTCTGCTAACACAAACAGACACGCACTGACACGCAAAGACATACGAAGGCCAAGTCACTCAAAAGCCACACACCCATTAACAATATGCGACGCTCTTTGGTATCCGCCACCTTTTGTGTTGTCCCAAGGGCACCGCTCCTCTTCCGCTGTGCCCCGTGGACTCTGGCTGCGGCGACAGCAGGAGTGACGAGGACTCCGCTTCTTGCGTCAATGCAACGACGCTTCGCATCGCACACCGCCCTTGCCGAGGCGACGCGCCGTGAGATGGAGGAGGAGCAGCAGCGCCAGTCGAAACCGGCGATGCCGCAGGTGCCGACTGGCTGGGCGGTGGAGCGGAAGCCCGGCGAAACTGTGTTCACGATGCGCAAAACGTACGAGGGTGAAGAGATCCTCCTCCGGTACGGCGGCACGACAGTGGAGGATGAGGCGGTGGCGCACAACTTCACCGTGTTCGTGACGAACAAGAATAAGACTCTCGCGTTTGAGTTGAGCTACGAGGACGGGGAGCTGGTGCTCGACGGGATTGCATTCCACGACGACACGAAATTTGCGTTTGACGAGTCCGCGGAGGCGGAGGTGCGGCGTGAGAAGCTGTACGCCGGTCCGGATGTGAGCGAGCTGGAGGAGGGTCTCGTTGACGCCTTCATCAGCTACCTGGAGACGCGAGGCGTGGACGACAAGCTGGGCGAATTCGTGGATGCGTACAGCTTCTGGGCGGAGCAGGCGGACTACGAGGTGTGGCTCAGCGCCATCAATCGCTTTGTCTCGTGAGGCCCCGCCAGGATTCGCGGGGGTTCGCTTTTCACTATTCTTTAAAAAGGAAATGAGTGTGTGGGGGGTACATATTGTTACAAACCCGCACAGACCGATGGATGAGAAGAGAGAGAGAGAGAGGGAGAATGAGGAGGAGAACGAAGTGGTGGTGATAGTGGTGAAAGGGACGGTGAAGGCAAAGCAACACAGAGCTTCATGAGACTCAGAAGCAGGAAACAAAAAAAAGCAATCAAACAGGCAAACATGAACGGATAACATCACAGCGATTCGCTCTGGGGCGAATACTATTGACCGAGACGATCCGAACTGAAAGGAACAAGCCTCATTTAGCGTACATTTTGTGTCTGTGTGTAATTTGCGTTTGATATATAGGCCCTTACGCCGTTGGAATAAGGTGCATGCGAAATTTCTTTGTCGTTGTGACGTCATACTGTTCTATTTATTTTTGTTTATTTTCTTTTTTTTTTTTCGCTTCTTGCGTTTGCCCACTCTCCTGTGTCTCGCTCATGAGGCGCAACAGCAACCAGAAACAAACAGCGGGACTGATACGCTGAAGAAGACAAAAAAGAAAAAGAGCGGAGGATGTCTCTTCAGCTAGAGGACTACACTGGGGCGGTCCCGGTCGTCATCTCTCTTAGCGACACGGACTGTACTGTACAGGAGAAGCCATCCCCGCTGACGTATATGCTTCCACGAACCACTGTGCTCATGGCTGTACGGGCGGAGGTACAAACATTCTTCTCTGCCTTCACAGTAGCCAAGGCCGACGCGACACCGCTCGTCTGGCTGACGTGCAAGGGTGAGCCCGTACCGTGGCAGTACCCTGTAGGTGCCATCAAGGATAGCGTCAGCGCCGCGACAATTGCGGGCATGAACCAGATGTCCGCGAGATATATTCCTCCCACAGAAGATGCTCAACCGTCACCAGCCGATTTGTACCCCAGTGTGTTCGCCACACCACTGGAGTTGGAAGTGCGTATCACATGCGTGGCAGCCGACAAGCCGCCGACAGTGCCGTGCCCTGGGCAAGAAGATGCGCATCTCCGCCGTAGCGGAGAGCAGGCAATTTGGGACTACATGAAGCAAGTGCTGAAGGGAACCTTCTCTCTCATGTACGGTAGCATCAAGGCGCTTATGGACGCCCGCAGTGAAGTGATTAACGATATGTTGGCCTTCGCCACATGCACAACTATGGGAGATCCTTTTGTTCGGGCCTTTCGGGCCCACAGGGAGCGCGTCGCAGGGCTGCGGCGTATGGCGGGTGAACCCCAAAATGTTGCCATTATGATCAACGTGCCCTTTGGCAGGGGCCAACTCCAATTTATGCTATTCCGTGTTTCTACTACAGACTGGGCTCTTTGCAAGAACATTTCGCCCGCAGGTGAAGAAGGGAACGTTACAAGACATAACGAGGATAGCACCAGTGATGAGAAAAACAACAAAAACAACAGTACAGCTAGTTGTAGTGACGGCTGTGAAGGGCCACAGAGTGGAGATGCAAGACAAAAAAAACAACCCCTTGATATGCCGTTCGGGGAGGTGATGTGGCGGGCGCTTCTTGTTCCCTACCTCCAGTGGCACAAACATCAAGGGGACGATTCTGCCACTGCAACAAATGCTGCGCCTTTTTTCGACGCGCTGTCCCCCTTCTACGCTGGTCTAGATGATGCGCCATCTCTCAGTCACGCTTTGGCCTCAAGGGCGGAGATGCTCGTGGAGGATTTTATTGCGGCAGGCGATTCGACCGCTGAGAGGTCGATGATTCGTGTGGCTCTCCCCACACCACCGTCACTGGAGCGTCGCTTGTGCTTCATGGTGCAGGGACTCCAGCCGCCGCTGCAAACCCCGGTGGGCTACCTCCTAGACCGCTTTGCGTCGGCTGATATGCGGCTCTATGTTACTTTGGCGGCCGTATGATGGAGTGACGCATGGTTGCTGGTGTGTGTTTTGCTTGCTTGCGTTTGACGAGTTCGTCTGAGCAAAGTTCTGGTATGAGGGAGAGGAGAAGGGGGGTGTGAGGAGGAGGAGGAGGAGGAGGAGGAGGAACGGACAACGGCTTTTGCGAGTTTAAACGGCATCGAGCGAGTGCAAGTGTGAGAGAGGCGGGCCTCTGTATCGAATAATATTGCTTGTTTTTTGGTTCTTTATTTCTTTGTTTTTTTGGATGCGTGTGGCTCCCTTGAAGATAAGGGCGTGGGTGTGGAGGTGACCGATGAGCAGCACGAGTGGTGTGGCGAAGAGCGGCGCGTGCACGGGCGAGGGGCTTCTGCACGTGCTGCGCAATTCCACCAATCCATCGCAGGTGGATGCGGTGCTGCTGCAGCTGCTGCACAGTCTCAGCACCCCAACGGAATGCGTCGTCTGCCTGTCGCCGGCGAGCCTCTGCTGTTTGCTGCGTCTCCTCGTCGAGCGCACCGAAGATGCTTGGCTGGAGGTGCGGAAGAAGATCGCCTTTGTATTCAGCGACTTGGTGTCAAAGGGCCATGGCGACGTGCTGGCAGACGCGCTCCTCTACGGCACTTTACAAACCACTACGTGTGGCGAGGCGCATGTCAGTCTCATCGATTTTGGCGACGCATCCCCAGATGATGGCGCACCAACTGCCGTGCTAAGTGAAGCAAGGGAGCTCATCGGCAGACTGGCAAGCGCGCACGGCACAGTGGAGCGCTGTGTTCCTGCAGCCGACGTGTTCAGGACATTCACGCGTGTGCCTGCACTTTTGGAGATCATCATGCTGCCCACTCCACTGGAAAACAACGGGGCCAATAGCAAGGCACCCTTTCAGCAGCAGCAGCAGCAGCAGGAACAAGAAAGACCGAAACAGCATCATTTCCATGAATCATGCGTTGGGATTTTGTGCCGTAGCGTTGCGTCAGACACTACAGTTCTTTGCACAGAAACGTGGCGCTCGTTGACGACAACGCTCTATACAAATAAGGGTCTCTCCGCTTCGCTGCTGTTACATTTTTTTACTGAATTTGTGGTGATGTTAGTGGGCTGCCTCCAAGGGGCAAACTTCGTTGCGAAACTCCATGCCCTGGAGTTCTTGGCAGCTCTTCTTGAAGATTCTGCTTTTTTAAAGGCTCGTCGGAAGTTTGCTGAGTCGCCGGCGCTTCTTTGTGCCCTCATCCCCTTGACAAACAGCCCATCTGCGCATATCCGCTTTCTCACCTTCGACACACTTAAAGTGTTCATCGCGAAAGGGAACAAACCTGCACCTATTCGGTATATCCTTTACATCAACCGCGAGATGCTCGCTCGCTACGTAGAAGACTACTCCACGGGGGAACTGACAATTGACAAACGCCTTGAGATAGAGAAGCAGAAGCTGCTGCAAAGCCTCATCTCGCTGGAACCGCTGAGTCACGAAGAGGAGGTGTTTCTCAGTGTTGCGTGACGGCGCCAGCATTTGCAGCAACATGTTTGTCTTCAGTGGAGGATTCCTCATTGATGATGCGTAGTTATTGTGGCTATGCAGCGAGGAATGCCCTTCAGAATACCTGCCTTCCCATTAATTTTTTGGCTTTTGTTCTCCACCACTTTTCTCTCTCTCTCTCTCTATATATATATATATATATATCCTCTTTTCGTCTCGTTGCAACAGTTATAGCCTTCCGCAAAGACCGTACCGCTTCTGTCTGTGGGAGGCGGGATTATGTCAAACCGCGCGCCTGCGGCGTGCACGACGTTCGACGCACAACAGCTAGGCCTTGCAGACGCGCAACCGATCGGTTCTGGTGCTGTCTCGCACGTGGTGCGCAGCACGCTCAGCTTTCCGCACCGCACCCCTATAGCAGTGAAGATACTTTCCAAGGTGCAGCTGCTGCAGCAGAGCAAGGTGCAGTCGGCGATGAACGAGAAGCGGGTCCTTGTGGAGATGGGACCGCATCCCTTCATCGCCCGCCTGTATGGCACTAGTCAGTCGACTGATGAGCTGTACTTCGTCATGGAGTACCTTCCGCATGGGGACTTGCTAGAGCACATCCGCACGCGCGTCGCGCGTCGCACAGCTGTTGGTCTGACGGAAGAGGCCGCATTGACTACGAGCCTGCAGCGTGGAACTTCACACTCAAATATGTCAATCCCCTGCTTGGACTTCCATGACATTCAGCTTATCACGGCACAGATTCTCGTTGGACTCGCGCACGTCTTCGCCAAGGGCTTTGTGCTGCGCGACCTCAAGCCAGAGAATATCGCATTCGACAGTAAGTACCGTGTGTGTCTTCTCGATTTTGACACTGTGGACGTGGAAGGAATGACGCAGCTGCCGCATTCAAACAAAGGAGTTGCGCTGTGCAATGGATCCACAAGGGAAAAAATGGGCGAACCGAAGCGCCGCCTCACTGTCTCTTCCATACAATCGATGCGTAAAATGACAGCTCACTTCTGCGGTACGGCACAGTACGTATCACCTGAAATGATTGGGCAGTGCAAGTGGAGCTACAGCAGTGATCTCTGGGCTTTGGGGACAATAGTGTACGAGATGGTGTACGGCACGCACATGTTCCCAGGATGCAATACGTTTGCGGTGATGAAGCGTGTAGTAGCTGGCGTGCAGTGTGGAGAAGTCCCGTTCCCGCAAGTCGATCTTGGCCCGGAGACAGACGCGTTTGAGCGTGTCAAGGACTTCATCCTCAAGCTATGTTGCACAGACCCCACCCAGCGGCTGGGCGTGGACCCTGAGACAGGGCTGTTCGACGAAGAGGCGGTGCGACGGCACCCGTTATTTGGCGACTTCTCCTGGGAAGTCCTGGATGAGCACGTGAAGAGCTACCGGCCGCCTGTTGTGAACCCACCAGCGGCAGGAGCAACAACGGCGAAGAAAACGATAGAAACAGCAGCAACAGAACCGGTGGGATTAGCATGTGGGCCTGCCGCATTAGGCCCACTTCCACCGCAGGTGCTCGATGATGGCACCGCGTCATTAGAATCGCACTACCATACTCTCCCTGTGCATGATCCGGAGTACGCCAGGTACGTGTTTGCGGCGACCGCCGATGCTAACCCGTTTGAGCAGTGGGCGCGGGCGGCATCGGGTGACACGCGTGGCGACGGCGCGCAGGAGACGTCGTCCCATGAAGGGGGCTGCAAATGTGGTGCGTCTGAAAATTCTGATGATGCCCGGGTGGACGCCAACGACGAGGAATCGGATGTGATTGACGATGTCGGGGTGAGGTTTTTTGGCAACGTTCACCCGGACTTTGCGGACGTCGTATAATTGGAAGACTTTTCTGTGGTTCGGTTTTCGTTTTTTTTTTTTGTTTTTGTTTGCTGCCGTGTGGGGACTGCAGGTGCGGGTGGTGATGGTGCGCCATTTACTTTTTCTCTCTCCCGTGTGCCTCGGATGCCTCCTGAACGTGAATGACTCACTGCTCCGTGCGATGTACAGTTCAGGGTATATTCAAGCACTGTGCGCTTTTTCCGGTGGGTGCATGTTTGCCGCATTGCCTTTCATGCGCCTTTTATGTCGTGCTGCTTCTCCTGTGTGTCCCTCTCTTTAATGACTGTTGAATCTCTTCATTTTTTTTCTTCCCCCCCCCCTCCATTGTACTTTTCTGATTTTGACGCGAATGGGATGTGACGTGGAGTAACCACCCGAAGGAAGAGTAGATTGCGTATATACACACACACCCACCTACCCATCCACGCATATATACATATATACACATACACAGGTCAGCACAACGAGATAGAAAGAGAGGTGAGGGAGAGCAGCATCTTGTTGGTACGCGAATACTCCTTCACCGCGCACGCTCACAGTGGGAATTCATTCATCGACTGGCAGTGAGTATACTTCATTCCTTGTGGAAAGGGGGTAGGGGATGCTTGAAATCAACGGACTTGCGCAACTTCTCTCTCTCATCCGCGAGAATAATGTTCTCGTTGTCTGCTTCTACGCCGACTGGTGTGGGCCGTGCCAGATGGTGAAGCCACGGTATGCCGCGCTGAGCGAGAACTACACCGTCGTGACGTTCTGCAGGTGCAACATTGACCGCAACCGTGACTGTGCAGAGCGGTTCGGTGTGCAAAGTATCCCGACTTTTATGGTGTGGGCAGGTGGCGAGCTGCAGACGACCATCAATGGAGGCAAGTTGGAGGCACTGGAAAGGTTTATTGAGCGTACGATCGAGATGCACCATCCCTCAGCAGCAGCAGCAGCAGCAGGCAGCAGTGGCAATGCGGCCGCCGTGCACATTGCACTTGCACAGCAAATGGAGTCATTGACGCGGGCAGTTACCACCGCAAAATCTGGCGGAGTAACGACAGCAGAGATATCGGCTGCGTGCGAGGCCGTGTGTCAGACACTTGAGCAGGACTCCGAGTCCCGTCCGTTAGGCATTCTGTTGCTTCCATACTTTGCTTCTACTTACTTTAGCGCTTCGACAGTCGATGCACTGTTTGCGCACATCGCTGCGAGGCCGGAGCCGCGCTGCCACGATGTTGAGTACATCGTCAACACCCTACTGGGCCACCTCATTGAATACTTCCTCTCCACCACGCTGAGCAAGACAAAGGAGCTGGGCATGCTGCGGCAGGTGTTATACGCCCTTGTGTCTTGCAACTCCGTCCTCGGTCCTCTTGTTCGCTCACATTTCTTCTACAATGACTTGCTGGCCAACGGCCTGCAGCTGGAGTACGGCACTGTGCTGGGCGCTATGCTCGGTGTCTGCCCGTACAGCCGTGGATATCGCCCATTCCCACCGTACTCACGCACAGTGGAGTGGGAGCAGCTCATGATGATGTTCCCCAGAGACACTGATGACCACTTCAGGAAGATTTCAGAGCTACAGCTATGCATGGAGGCAACGTGTGCAGAAAACAAGCGCATTGTGCTTGCGCTGCTGCATGCCAAAATTTCCCGCGAGCCGACGCTGCGTTTTATTGGTGCGGCGCTTTGGCTCAACGCGAGCTATAGCAAGACCGTGCACCACCACCTGCCCCTTTCCTCACGCTACTTTATGGTTCAACTGAACGACGTGCTGGTGGAGGCGACGCTCCCTCTCTTTGGTAAAAGCTTCGACCCACGCGCGATACCCACATGCTACGTGCTGAGAGATACAGGTGATCACACGCTTGTGGACTTTGGCGATGACGTGGAGCGCATCACGCACTACGACGAAAGCCGCCCGCTGCCGCTGTTCCCCGCGATGCAGGAGCCGTTCAAGCCGTCGGTACATCTCTTCTTCCTCGCCGCCCGCTCCATGATGCTGAGCGCGACGGTGCTCATCGAGACGCACGAGCGTGACGAGCACGACGCAGCTCACCCGCGCGTGCCACCGGAGCAGCGCATGGCGTGCGTCGCGGAGAAGAGCCTTATTGAAGGGCTGCTTGGCGCCGAGAGCCTCGGTCGCAAGCGCGTGCAGGTGCTCAATGGCATTGCCGCGTGGCTCATCAGCGTCATGAACGCCGCGCCTGACGGCACACTTGCGAAGGAGCCGTCGGAGGAGTGGCAATACCTGCCGCAGCAGCTGGTGGACGTTGTGATTGGAGCTGTGCGGCTTGCACCGCTGAATTACTTTGACGTGGAGAATATCATTTCCCTCATGCTAGTGCTGATGGGCAACACAACGTACTTCCCCAAGCCACACACACACGCGCTCTTCCCCGCCTTTCTCGCCCGCCTGATGCAGGACGAGGAGACGAAGCGTGCCCTGACGTCACACCGGTGGTTCACGCAGCACATCGTCCGCAGCTGTGTCCTCTGCTACATTGCCGTGGAGAAGTCGACGTACGAGAAAGTGACGGTGCGTTACACCCTTTCCTTCTGCACGAAGTCTTTCCTCATGTTTGAGTCGCTATGCCAGCCGGTGCGGGAGGAGTTCGAGGTGGATGGCACCATTCTGGAGCGTTTCTCACACATGGTGACTGCCGATGTCAATGAGGCAGTCGATCAGCTCATCGAGACACTTATTCAGATGAACCGCCTCGTGAAGGAAGGCGCAGATCTTAGCGAGGGGGCCCGCGCACCACACAACAACAACAACAACGCCAACGTTGCTGGTGCTAGTGTCGCACCGGCGAGAGGTAACGCAAACAACAACAACAACACCAGGAACAATGATGAAAATGAAGAGGAAGAAGACGAGGATGATAGCAACGATGGTGGTGAACCGCCAATGACCTACCATCAGTTGGGTCTCGGGCTGCGGCAGCACATCCTCCTGTTCCAGGCAAGCGTGGACCTCTTCATTCAGCTTGCCGAGAGTTTCTCGAAAGGCGTGGCGCAGAACATGGTGGTGCAGCAGATTGCCCAGATGCTGGCACGCAGTCTCGTTAGCTTTGCCGGCGCGGAAAACAAGAACCTGAAGATCGAGCACCCCGAACGGTATAACTTCCGCGCACGCGAAATCCTCAGCCGCCTTGTCGAGTGCTTTGCCCGGTTCCAATGCTTTGAGAACTTCATGCGGGCGCTGTGCAACTGCGGCCTACCGCTGCATGACATCCTGCAGGCGATGCGCACCGTCGTGGACCGTGGGCTGGTGGGCGAGAACCTCATCTGGAAGCTCAATGACATCGCCCAGTCTCTCGAGGAAATGTCACAGAAGGTCCGCGACGACGAGGCGCTGTGGGACGAGGCGCCAGAGTTCGCACTCGACGCGCTGCTGTCGACGCCGCTGCTGCGCCCTGTGGCACTCCCCGCCGACGTGAAGGACCTCGACGACCTCGTGTACGTCAACCACGATACCATCCACCACGTGCTGCTCTCAGAGAGTAAGCACCCCTTCACGAAGGAGTACCTTGACGAGAAGATGGTGGAGGAGTTCAACGCACGCGCGGACGTGACGCAGGCGCGACAGAAGCTACAGGAGCGCATCGCCGCGTGGCTGAAGGATGCGAAGCAGAACCGTTAGGGCGGCGACATCCAATACAAAGGCAGTTTGGGCGTGTAGAGAAGATGCCCGCAGAAGTACTTGCCGGGCAGGGTAGTAAACGTGCACGAAGGCATACATACATACATATATATATATATATATATAACAAAAAAAACACAAAAAAAAACAAAAATGAAGGATGAATGATGTGAGCTTTTATTTTCCTTTGCCTTATTTGGTAGGGGCGGTGGGTGAGCGGGTGAAGGTGTTGCGCCTTCTACGCATGTGACTTTCTGTAGAAAGATGCCCACGGCAGAAAAGCGTTCCTTCAGACGCTGATTATTCTGTACACAACGAGGAGTAAGGGGAGAAGGGCGAAAAAGAGAAGAAAAGGAAAAAAAAAAGTCAAATGCGTAAACGTAGTTCACATGAAAGGAAAGTGACTTGCTGAAGTGTGTCACTTTTGCATCGTTTCCTGCCACCAACTGTTCAGTGAAGGGGAGCGAACATTTTTCCTATAGTGCTTCAAAGATGACAGTAAGCCACAATGCGATTGCATTCCTCCTGTGCGCATGCATCTCTCTCTCTCTGTCTCGTATACATATATATATATATATATGTGTGTGTGTCTGTGTGCTTGTCTCCGTCGTTATCCCCGTGTGGATGCTGCTATCGGGATTCCGTCTCCCCTCCTTGCCTCTTCCCCATTCTCTATGCTGGTCATTTTGCGGCACAGTCTCTAGTCCAGAGTAGCGCGCAGCAGCGGCAGCAACAGCAAAGAGGAGGAGTCTCTCATGCTGCGGCTGGACCGCTGCTGGCTGGGGCGGTGGGGGCCGCGCGACTTCCTGCGCGGGCGCACCAAACGTGGCGGCGCGATCCATACGCGACACACACACGGAAGCAGCGGTCGCTACAAGAGACTCTCGAGCCTCTTTGGCTTGCGTGATGGGCGCCGCCACGCCTGGAATCATTTGAAAGGCGGCCTCGGCATCAAACTCGGCGGCGGCCTCTTTGGTCTGCGCATTCCGCGCCAACACGTCCTCTCCACTCTGTCGCCGGATGACTACGATATTGCGCTTCATGGGCACCCGAACATCACGAACCCGTACCGGCAGCACATGGACGAGCATCCTGACTTGAAGGGCGTGATGCGCAATGCGTGCCTGAGCGTGCATCTGGTGGTGCTGATGCCGCGAGTGTCACGCACATCGGCACCATCATCATCATTATCATCATCGTCCGCAACAGCGGAAACGGCGACGACAAGGATGATGACGACGGCGACTCTTCCAGAATCGTGGGCAGAGCTGCTGCAGCATTTGGGTGACACAATAAGCAGAGAGTGCAATGCAATGGGAAACGGCAGCAGCATCATCACATACTGCTCTACAATATCGGCGTCTGTTACGTGCCATCAACCGGAGGGAGATGCGCTGCGCGTTGCTGCAGCTTCTCTCTATGAGGATCACTTGAGGGGCACGAAGCTTCGGCCTTCACCTGTAGCGGTGACACATCGGCGGCACGAACCAAAGCGTATACCACTCCTGGGTGCCGCACTCTCGGCACCTGCCACTCTACAAAAGAAGGCTAAAGCTGCAGTGACACTCTCGGAGTTAAATTTAATCGGCACGCAAAGTCAGACATCATGCATTCTTTCTCATGACAAGCATGCATTCACCATGGAAGGCGAGGCCAATGGGTTTGCAGCGCCTTCTGCTGCCACTAGTTCTGCTGCTCTGGCCCAGCGGGGTGTGCTGCAGCTGCTGCAGGACCTTCGCCGGTCGCACCCCAACGCCCTAGGCCTGTGCATGCGTCTAGGGGAGGTCATACCCACCAAAGGTGCGGCGCAAACGCGCGAGGAGCAGCAGACACCAGGAATGCCCGCACGAAAACTGCTACGCGAAGATATGGATCCAGATGAGGTGGGCATTTGGAAGCGGCCTGCTGCGACGGTGGATGCGCTCATGCGGTGGCACTACTTCAACTGGGATCCACGTGCGCATTGTGCTGACAGACTGCCGCACAACAGACGCTGGCAGCCGGTGCACATCTTTGTGGACGCCTCGAGAGTGCGGGGTGAAGTGAGTGGCAACCAAGGCCGTTCGGGGGCGACGCGGTCGTTGATGTCACCGCATTTTTCAGAGAAGTTGCTGGAGATGAACTTTGAGCGTGCCGATCACGATGGACTCGCTGAGATGTTGGCAGCGTTACGGGGGTGGTCGGTGGACTCCCAGTGGCTGGCGCTCGAGGACCGGCGGCGAGGGTTGGTGAGGTGCAATCTGGAGCGTGACGCGGAGGAAGAGCGGCAGCAGTAATACTGCAATATGCTGCATGAGCAGCCGCATTTGTGTTGAGGGCATCTCTGTCGTTGTGAGAGTAAAAGTGTGGACTCTTTACATTCTTGTTTCTAGTGCACTGTCCAAGTGATGGTATGTGCTGTAAGAAGTATGAGGACAATTGCATTGCAATGGTATGACATTCACTTGAATGTCGCTTCTTTCACTGTTGTTGAGATCTTTTCACACGGCAGAGGAACCGGAAGAGACGGAGGGTTGAGTAGGCTCTGAGGGAGAAATAGAGTGGCCAAGGTGACTGTGTGGCAGGCCGCTGCGCGACGAAGGACACAGAGAGAGAGAGAGAGAGAAAGCGTGGCTGCTGCAGCCTTAGGTATTGCATCAAATGCGCCGCATCACATCTGCCGGCACCCACGGTGTTGCTGCGGCGTTGTCTCGACTACCAATCATGCAGCAACACGGCCGGGCGCCGGTCGGCGCGCTTTGCGCAGCCGTGCGGTTCGCGAGCAGCTCAGGTGTGCCAGTGGTGAATCTCTACAAGCGCCTCGGTGTCGATGCGACGGCGACAGTGGAGGAGCTGAAGGCGGCGTACCGGCGCCGCGCGTTGGTGTGCCACCCCGATGTGGTGGACGACAACAGGCGGGCGTGGGCGGAAGTGGAGTTTCGCGCTGTCTCCGAGGCATACGACACGCTCGTTGACCCGAAGAAGCGCGCCGAGCACGACAAGGCACTCGGTCTCGAGCGCGTAGCCGCACAACAGCCGAAAGAGTCATCTGGAACAGCAACAGCGGCGGCGGCGACGACCGCAACATCGCGGAAGGGGAAGGCGACACCGCGCCGCCGAAAGCCGTTCGTGCGGGGGGATGCCGACCGCATGTTTCGTGAGGCGTTTCACGGCATGTCGCTCGACCAAGTCATCTTCCAGGAGCGACTGCGGCAGCGCCAGGCGCAGAGGGAGCAGCGTGACGGTGGTGCAGCAACGGCGGCCTCCCCTGCCGGCCACGAAGAGTCGCTGCGCCGCGTCGTGGCCGAGG